CCCCCCCCCCTCCCCAAATTATTCCTTTATTCTCCGATTTTCCATAATTCAGGTCTGGAATTCCGGGCGGGATCAGCTCCCACCTGCACACACCTGGAGGAGGCACCGGGGCCAGGTGGGGGGACACCTGCAGGGGGGGCAGCCAGGGAGGGGCACCTGGTGGGGGTCACCTGGGGCTGGGACAGCCAGGGAATGATACCTGGGATACACCTGGACAGGCACAGCCAGGTAACAACACCTTGAACAGGCACAGCCAGGTAACAACACCTGGGGGTCACCTGGGACACACCTGGACAGGCACATCCAGGTAACCCCACCTGGGGTCACCTGGGACAGTCACAGTCATACCTGGGGTCACCTGGGACAGTCACAGTCAGGTAACCAGTCCTGGGGACTTTCCAAGGGCTCCAGGTGTTCCTTGGGAGAGGCACAGCCAGGTAACCACACCTGGGGGTCACCTGGGACAGGCACAGCCACACCTGGAACAGGCACAGCCAGGTAACCACACCTGGGGGCTCCCAGGTGTTGCCAGCTCTCTGTCCATGTCCTTGTGCTGGGAGTGGGGATTGTCCATGTTCTCCAGGTGTTCCAGGTGCTCCAGGTGTCCCAGCTGCTCCAGGTATTCCAGGTATCCCAGGTTCTCCATGTTCTCCAGGTGTCCCAGCTGTTCCAGGTTCTCCAGGTCCTCCATGCTCTCCAAGTGTTCCAGGTTCTCCAGGTATTCCATGTTCTCCAGGTGTCCCAGGTTCTCCAGGTATTCCATGTTCTCCAGGTGTTCCATGCTCTCCAGGTATCCCAAGTTCTCCAGCTGTTCCATGTTCTCCATGTTCTCCAGGTGTCCCAGGTGTTCCAGGTGCCCCTATTTGAGGATGACGTGGTAGCTGTCGCTGCTTTCGGCTGCAAGGAGGGCACAGGTGAGGCCGGGGCAGGTGAGGGGGCCGTGTCCCAGGTAGGCCCCTCCCCCCAACCCCCCTCCCCCAGGTGCTCACACACCTTTCATGGTGTCCAACACGAAGCAGGACTCGTCCGGGAAGTTCTGGATCATCTGGGAAAGGAACCGGAACAGAGGGATGGGGGGAGGACTGGGGGGACAAAGGGGCCCAGGTGGGAGCTCAGGTGGGAGCTCAGGTGTGTCCCAGGTGTATCCAGGTGTATCCCAGGTATATCCAGGTGTATCCCAGGTGTTTCCAGGTGTGCCCAGGTGTACCCTGGGTGTCCCAGGTATATCCCAAGTGTATCCCAGGTGTCTCCAGGTGTACCTAGGTGTATCCCAGGTATATCCAGGTGTATCCCAGGTGTCCCCAGGTGCCCCCAGGTGTGCCCAGGTATATCCCAGGTGTGTCCAGATGTATCCCAGGTGCGCCCAGGTGTGCTACCTCGTCGCTGACCAGGACGTGGATGCCGGTGGGTCCCTGTTTGTAGATCTGCTGGATCTGGTGGGCGGAGACGCGGAACAGCTGCGCCAGCTTCTCGGAGAGCTCGGCCGCCGTCAGCTCCTCCAGGTACACCGCGTGGTACACTGGGGACAGGGGACACACCTGACACACCTGAGCCCCCCCAGGTGAGCCCCACCTGCCCCAGGTGTGCCCCAGCCCCCCCAGGTGAGCCCCACCTGCCCCAGGTGTGCCCCAGCCCCCCCAGGTGAGCCCCACCTGCCCCAGGTGTGGTCTCTCTCCCCCCCTCACCGAAGAAGGTCCCGGCGCCGCCGTCGCCCTCGTCGGGCTCGTGCTGGGGGTCCCTCACCTGCTGCGACTCCTGACACACGTAGATGGTCAGGCGGGGCCTCACCAGCCTGGACAGGTGAGGGACAGGTGAGAGGGGACAGGGAAGGGACATTTCCCACCTCACTGATCCAAAAAAAAACCGCATTTCCCACCTTTTCTTCTGGCGTTTTCCAGCCCTTTCCAAAA